ATGAATTTTTGTCATAAGATTGGCAATTTGTTTTTATTTTCATGATTCTTGAAGGTCTAAATTTCTTATGCTAAGGGATTTTTGTGTCTGTGTCCGTTGAGAATAGAATCAGGTCAAAGACATTTCAGGAGAAGGCTATTTTATCAGTATCCTGTAAATAAATTTGTTTTCATTTCCTTGAAAGGCAAAGAGAGAGAGAGAGAGATCTTTCCTCTTCTGGTTCATCCAGGATCCTAGAACTCGATCCAGGTCTCCCACATGGATGACAGGGACCAAGTGCTTGAGTCACCTGTACTGTCCCCCAGGGTGTGCACTAGCAGGAAGCTGTATCAGAAATGGAGTAGGCAACTGAACTAAGCACTCCAATATGATGCTTGCCCCATCAGCATCCTGTATGTTACAGCCAACTTCATCCTTGTTCATGATGACAGTCACTAGAACCTCCTCCGATCCATACAGTAGATGTATATGTTTAGTGCACACATTATATTGCCATGGCAACTACAGCATAGATGCTACTGTACTTTAGAGACCCAGATCTGCTTGACTCCAGGGCATTCATCTCCATGCTGTGTTTGGGTTCTGAAGTTCATCCTGATATGGAAAAGACCCATAATCAGCAAGATCACTCATCCATTCATCACCTGTCCACCCATCCATCATCCATCCATCCATCCATCCATCCATCCATCCATCTATCATCTATCCATTTATCCATCCATCTATCCATCATTCATCTTTTCATCCGTCATCCATCCATCCAACCATCCTTTCACTTATCCATCTATCTTTCTTCCACCCATCCATCCATCCATCCATCCACCCATCAATTCACATTCATCCAATTCTTTATTTATTCACTCATTTAGCAAGCATTTCTGGAGTCCCAACCTAGCATACATTTCTTCCTCATCTTGATTTATTACACAGCTAAGCCTAGACCTGCTCTACAGTTTGCATTCAGAGTGGTTCCTTGGTGGAGGGGGGCTGGTCAGTGGCCTCACGGAGAACATGCAGTGATGAGCCTGAGATTGAGTCTAGAATGTGGACTCAAGATTCCCGGACAACTGCTGTTGGGACATTGAGCATGGATTGCAACATGTTTGGCTAGGGCTAGGGGTACATTTTGTGGCTGAAAAACAGACTTTTCCAGTGAATAAGTCAAGCTAGCCTGTCTGGGATCAAATCCACAGGGGTTGGACAATCTGGTCCCAGCAAATTAAAACAACATGGGTACCAGCCAGCCACACTTCGGAGAACAATGTTTTTGTTGTTTTAACCAAGGACACCCCTCCACCCCCACCAGCAACAAGCTCTGAAGGAAAATGGGGGAGAATTTATAAGAAAACGAAACAATTCTTGGGTGTTCTGGCACAAACTCGTTTTCCTGGCCTCTCCCTGCTGTGTTTTTACCCTTCCATCGCCAGAACTGTGAGGGTTCAGGAGAGTCCCTGACGAGTTGGCACCCTAAATGCCATGGCTGTTTTTCCCCCATCCCCAGGCAGCTGCCTTCCTTCCTTCCTCCCTAGGGTCCTTCAGGGTCTTGGTTCCCCATTAGGGACTATGGGCAGCAAAGAGTCCCAGATTATGTCTGGGCATCAACCCTACCTTTGTCATTTTGCTTTCCGATGCTTTGAAAACTTGAGGCTTGCTGATCCTGGAAGGATCCCTCCTCCTTCCCAGGGGCAGGGGCGCCAATTTCCGGAGACCGGAAGAAGTTCAACAGGAAACACAGCTCTTGAGTGCCAACCAACCTGTCTAGATCCCAGGACCCCCCCCCCAAAGCTCCAGCCCCCCTTCTGTGTCTGCTCTCCCACTTTAGGCTTCCATCCACCTGCCCCAGTCACTGCAGGGTCTGGCTGCCGACCGCAAGGGGCAGCTCCTGCACCCCAGAGCCCACGATGACTCTCACAAGTCCCATGCCAGCAGACTCTGCCCTTCTTCCAGGAGGCACCACAATAAAAGCTCTTGCCCGTGTTTTCCCTCCCTCTTTCTGCCTGCCGCCCAGCCCCCACCCCACCCGGCACTGTGCCTCTGGGTAATAAGGCCCTTTCCTTCCTGACGCTGTGCGTCACATATGCCTGCATGTCTCATCTCATTAAAGCAAATCCACAGAGATCTGTGCTTGGCCTCGTGCTGAAGGTGACACTGAGATTCCCACAGAGCACCTAGGTTGAAGCCTCGACCCTGGCTCCTGGCTCCAGCTTCCTGCCGATGTGACCCCTGGGAGGCAGTGGCGTGCTTTGTTAACTTCCACCTGGTGCAGCACGGGCTCTGACAGGCCTCTGGGAGAGTGAACCAGCAGATAGAAGATTGTGTATGCGAGTGTGAGTGTGCACATGCATGCTTCACTCATGACTGCTTTTAAAAATGTAAATCAAGGGTATCTTTAAAATAGTGTGCTCCTTCTGACTGTGTCGCAGTGGGGTGTTGTCGCTGTGGTGGAACAGTGCCATGCCATGGTGGTGAGGGTTGAATGGGTGACAGAGGTGACTCGCCAGCCCTCTTCATCCTCTTGTGTGTGTGTCTCTCTCTTTTTTTATTTTGTTTATTTGTCTTTGTCCCTTGGTCTACCTCCCCTCAACGGAACAAACCACCTTTTGTCCCTGACACAGAATAGCTGCTCACTTCACAGTCGGGATGGGATGAACATGGATGTGGCTGGCATTGAACTGCACCCACCTGTACCTTTCTCCTCCCTACTGTGTTTGTTGGGGTCCCCCTGCCCACTGCTCCCCCATGTTCTCCAGTATGGATCCAGGATCCTTACCACACCGCACCATGGGGTGGGAATCCATTCCAGGAGCTTCCTGTCATTTTTTCCGGGCCCAGAAAAGTGCTGTGCTTGTGTGAAGGGTCTGAGCCAAGGTCCTGGAGAACTTTGCAAACATTAACCGTGTAAATTGCCTGCCTTGTGTGTGGTAGGTGGGGCGTGACTCGCTGGTGCCAGGTGGTTGCCCAGGAAGCCAAACCTGTCCTGGAAGGGAATGGAAAGATTGGCAACCTCAAAGACTGGGGACATTCCTGGAAGACGGCCCCTCCCTCCGCAGTGCAGCAGGTGTCATCAGAGCTGGAGTGGGCAGGGCCACTCTCCTTGCTTGGGTTTATCGAGTTTTCTCACAACAGCCAAGTGCAGCAGTTAGGAGGTCCTAGCACTCATGCCTTCAGCAGTGCCTTTTGCACAGCCACGATGACCCAGGATTGGGGAAGCAGGGGTCGGGGAGGCACAGGGGCAAGCAGAGAGACCTGGGAAGGGGAGGTGGATCAAAGGAGACCTCTTAGGGAAGAAATAATGTCTCCACTGACACCCACAACTCTTGAAACGTATGTCTCTACCTTTAAAAAAAAAACTCACAAAACCCAATTTCAGTCAAGCCCACGCCGTAAGAACATGTTAGTTTGCAGAATGGGCAGACCCTGTGGCATGGCTTCAGGAACGGTTGGTCCCAGGGGCTGAAGGGAGGCCTCCTCTCTTGGTTCTTTCTCGTTCTGTGTGTATTGGCATTTTCTCCAACCACAGAGAGAGCTCCCACTACCACCCAACCCCTCCTGTCTCCCCACCACACGTACACGGAGAAGAAGACAGGAAGTGAAAGCTCTCGGTTCACGTTCTTCTGCTGTCATTTATATGTTTATTTAACCAATATTTACTGATGAATGAGACAGTGCCTCTTGTGCCATGTGCAAGAATAATTGTTAGAATGCTGTTTTTACGAGCCAGGGACTGGGAACCGTTTTAAACATCCGGCAGTAGGAGAAGGGTCAAGTCAGCTGTGGCCCCTGCTGTCCTCATCTAACAGGAGCCAGGGCCACCCAGAAGAAGCTCTGTATGGAAGGTTCTCTCTGGAGGCTGACTTGATCTCCCAGAGAACACCTAGGGACAGTTGGAGTCGCTGTAACTGGTCACAGGGGAGGGATGCTAGCATCTCGTGGGAAAAGGACCAGGATGCTAACTGTTGCTCAGGGCACAGGACAGTCCTATCTCCAAGCACTAGCCAGACCGGGGGTGGATTTTGGGGACAGTAAGACGCCGACCTGGGCTGTCTGGAGAGCCCTGAGCGCCCCCTAACATCCACAGTGGAGCCCTGCCTCGTTGTGCTCAGCTTCCCACAGTGGACGACAGCCCTTGTGTCCCTTGGCATATGGCCTGACAGTCACTGTGTTCCGTCACACAGCCTTCTCCTTGAGTATTGCCTTGTAACAAGGACACCGGTCATCCTGGCTCAGGGTCTACTCTGCTGCAGTGTGACCCCCGTCTTAATGAAACGCAATGACCTTGTTTTCATGCAGGGTCTCATTCCGAGGTGCTGGAACTTAGGACTTCATCACCACATTTTTTGGGGGAGACACAAAACCCCTAAGTGCACACACACGCACACTCACATGTAAGTAGTTCCCACTTCACCACCGCGAGTACATTCCCATGGACTGACTACTGTCCCACTAAGTAGACTTTTAGAAAGGCAGCCTAATATAACTCCTACAGTTTAAGGTTAACATGCCTCTGGCCCAGACAGGGACAGTATTTAGCTAAAAGGGTGGGTACAACGCATGGATGGATGACCAGCTGGCCAAAGTTGATAGGTCGATGGCTACTCAGATGCCTGGGTAGATGCGTGATATATGGATTTATGAATGAGGAGAGTGATTTGATGGCAGCTGCCTTGATCATCACTCAGTTACAACCTCATAGGCAAAGGACACATGTGGCTCACTGATGACCCTTGTGGTCTGGCCACCTGATTTCTGCCACACTTCCTGTTCTCTTCTATGATCCAAAGTGTCAATACTCATATACCTGGTGAATTTTTTTTTTCTGTTTCTGCTGTTTATCATGAAGAATCGAGCTGCAGAGGACAAGGGTCCAAATGTCTGCTCGGACAGGGAAGGAAGCAGTGAGGAAGCCAAGCCCACAGGCCCTGCTTTCTTTGCAGATACTTATGGTGTCCACTTGGCTGAGACCGTGGCCGGCGTCCTGGCTAACAGAAAGGGTAGCTCTTTCTCTTGACTTGTTCGCCAACACTACAGATGGAAGGTGATCCTTGCGGAGGGCATCACATTGTCAGTCCTCTGAGGGAGCCCCAGCTTCTCTCTCCCCTTCATCTCTGGCTGGCACCCTTGGCCTCCTGGGAAAAGAGGCCAACTCAACTCTGTGTTGGGAAAAAGCACTCAGGGAGCTCCCTGGGCTGCTGCACAGCTGGGCAGCCCTTCGATGCTCAGCTTGCTGGGTGGAAAGCACTCACTCACCAGCCGGTGTGGTGGTGTGGCAGACCCACCACCTTCCCCTCTCCCACCCCATCCCTCTGGCTCCACCCCCTCATCCCAGGTCTGTTCCAGCCATGCTGAGGTTCAGTTCCATAGCATCCTGGAGGCTGAGCACAAACACTGTTTTCTGCTGCCTCTGCCACGTTCTCCACGGGGCGCCGCGCAAGAGCAACGGCAAGTACGCGCTCGGCTCCTCCCACGTGCCAGGCTGCAAGACAGCTATTAATATCTCCACTGTACACAAGAGCGAACAAAGCTCAGAGGGGACAGTGCCCTCAGCCATGCTCACGCAGTCAGCGACTGGCAGAATCCCAGGCTTCACTGCACATCCACAACTGTCCCCATGGACTAAAGTGGCCAAGACTTGGGTGATGTCCACTGCTAGGTAGCGTAAAACTTTTATCAATGGAAATTTCACTCAGCTTATTTTTAAGATTTATTTATTTTTATTGTAATGTCAGATATACAGAGAGATGGAGATATAGAGAGAAAGATCTTCTGTCCATTGATTCACTCCTCAAATGGCCGCAATGGTCAGAGCTGAGCTGATCTGAAGCCTGGAGCCCGGATCCTCTTCCAGGTCTCCCATGCAGGTACAGGGTCCCAAGGCTTTGGACTGTCCTCAATTGCTTTGCCAGACAGCTGGATGGGAATTGGAACAGCCGGGATATGAACCAGCGTTCATATGGGATCTAGGCAAGTGCAAGGTGAGGACTTTAACCACTAGGCTGCCGTGCGCAGACCTCACTTAGCTTTTTCAGAAACTCTTAGAAACTCTTGAATCCTCTAGGATATGATTTGAGGATGCTGGAGAGTTTCCTGTCACCTAACAATGCCTTGGTTTTCCAAGATTTGACCTGGAGATTTCCATTTTGTTGGGCCTGATATCCTTTTGATTTTTAAGAAATTGTCATTAAAATGACAATCATGTGCAGGCATTTGGTCCAGTGGTTAGGAAATATTGTTTGAAATGTCCAAATCTCATATTGGATTGCCTAAACTCCAGTCCCAGCTGGTCCCTAGTTCCAGCTTCTTATTAACACACAGCAAGTAATGGCTTCAGTGGTTTGGTCTTTGCCACTACCCACAATGGAGACCAGGATTGAGTTTTGGACTCCTGGCTTCTTTCAGGCGCTGACCTGGCTACAGTGCGAGTTCACGGAGTGAATAAGCAGATGGAAGATCTTTGCCTGTGTATATCTTTTCAATTACATGAATATCAATAGACCATAAATTATAGGTGTAGGCATATAGTTGTGACACTGGGAGATGTCTACAGGGTCTGACGTTTCGTGCGAACACTTGCCCCAGGCTGGAAGATCTGCTTCCAAGTGGCCCGCTCACAGTGCTTGCTGATGGCAGCTTGAGGCCTTGGGCCCTCACCCGGTGGACCTCCTTGCCCGGCTGCTTGAGTGTCCTTGCAACACGACTTCTTCCGGGTGAGGGAGTCGAGAGAGAGCAAAGATGAAGCCAACAATGGCTCTTGTGACCTTGCCTTCCACATTCTGCTACTCCGACCACGCCCTGACCCACGGGGGACACTGTTCAGCCGGCCCTCCCCAGAGGGGTGGTTCCCAAGCAGGAATATGGCTGCGGGCCCTTGACTGCTTTCCCAGGCCACAAGCAGGGAGTTGGATGGGAAGCGGGGCCACGGGGGATTAGAACCGGAGTCCATATAGATCCTGTCACGTGCAACGTGAGGAGGAGTACTGTTTCTTTAAGACCAGAACCTTCTAGCAAGTATGCTGAAAGGAAGGGGTGTGACACTCCCACAGGGAAAGCACTCCTGCCCAAAAGATAAAAGGGTCACTTTAATTGAAATAGAGTTACAACTGGTTGCCAGATTTAAGCACGTGGCCTCTCATATGTCAAAACCTGCAAACCGAAGGATTCCATACAGGGGCAGCATTTATATACATATAAATGTATGTATAATTTATGTAATATTTCTCCTATTCACGCTCTCTACTTAAGCTATCCATTAAAGTCCATCACATTAATTTAATTGAAAAATTCTGGGGAAATTGTATTAGATTTTTCTCCCCCCATTAAATTAACATTACAGCCTTTAAATGGATGTCCTGAAAGCCATTGTTGCTTACAGAATTATTATGCAAATTGAAACCTGGCCTTTGGGGCCTGGCCATCAGCTCTCCACCCTCTTCCTTCTGCTGCGACTCTTTAATTTAATGTCACTGCCCTTTCCTGCAGGTTCCCAGGACACAGAAGCAGAAGAGGCACCCTTGACCTGTGTTGGTACCCATGTCTTGGGCTCCCAGGCCTGGTCCACAGCCAGCTGGGCAGCTTGGAGTTTGGCACTCTGGTATTCAAGCCCTTAGGGAGAAGACTCTCGCCCTATCTCACAGGAGAAAAATGGGTGGGCAGACGCTATGATGCCCACCCCAGCTCAGAGCAGCAGACACCATGCTTGGTATAATGTAAGGACCTGAGAAAGTTCATAGTAAAAAATGCGATTGAAAGATAAGTTTACTTTGGATAATGCAAAAAAAAAAAAATTTTTTTTTTGGAAGCCCATGGAGTTTTTTTTTTTTTTTTTTTTTTTTTTTTTTTTTATAATACATATCAATGAACTTTTGAAACATCTCTCATTATGCCTGGATTTCAAATATTTTTTTAATGCATTTATTTGCAAGGCAAAGTGATAGAAAGGAAAGTGACAGAAAGAGATTAAATTTCCATCCTCCGGTTCATCCGCTGGCAATGGCCAACACAGCCAGGGCCATGGTGGGCCAACAGCAGGAGCAGAAACAACACCCAGGTCTCCCACACAGGAGGCAGCGACACAAAGACTTAGCCCATCACCTGCTGCCTTCCCAGGTGCATGAGCAGGAAGCTGGGTGAGAACCAGAGCAGGTGTCACCTGTGGCAGCCTGCCTAAGCCACTCACGATACCACAACACTGGTGCCCTGAGATGATTTTGCAATGGAATACTGACGTTGTAAGCCTATGTTCCATGGACTTTGGGAAGTACTCTTAGAAAGAATGGGAGAGTGTGGGTCAGACAGGATAATTCTGGGATGGGATTCTGTTCTTTAGCGACTGGAGGACTTTAGTCAACTCCCCTGACCTGTGGAAAACCTGGAGTCACCCCTGCTGCCTCGCCGAGGGTTGAAGGAGGACAGGCAATGAGTTCACTCTCTGCGCCCAGTAGGTCTGCGCCCAGTAGGTGCTCACCAAGGTCTGCTGTGACCCCTTCCTTATGCCCTCATTCATCCAGGAAATAATTCCAGGATTATTGACCCTCTAGGCCAGTGGTGAGGTACAAGAGCGCAATGAAGGGGAGCCTAGTAGTTAAGGCACCTAATATCCGTGTCTGAGAACCTGGGCTCAGTGCTTCACTCCAGCTTCCCACTAGCTCAGAGCCTGGAAAGCTACAGGTGCAGCCTCTAGCCATTGGGTCCCTACCCACGTGAGAGACCTGGCTTGAGTTCTCCTGCCCTGGTCCAGTCCTGTCTACACTGTAAGCCTCTGAGGAGTAAACCAGCAGATGGGAGCATGCTCTCTCTCTTTCTTTGTCTCTCTGTCTCTGCTTCTCAAATGTTTAAAATGTTGGTCTAACAAAGGACACCAGAGCCATTGGCTGGCCTCCTGAGGCTGGTCTGGTGTGGTGGGAGAGGGAGCAGGGAGCAAAGCTAGAGGTAGGTGTTATTGCCCTGATCAGAATGCTGTGCACATGTCTAGAAGGTCCAAGTGCACTCCTATTAATGAACTGGCCACCCTGGTTTGCCTGTCTGGTGCAGACCCTCTCCCCACTGAAAACAATTCACTGAGACTGCATCAGAGGATCCTTCTGAAGGCCTGGGTGCAGTTGGCATGGGCTGCCCCTAGCCTTCTCTGCTGAATCTCCTAGGAGCCAGATCTGAGTGCAGATGTGTGCCATCTACCTCATCTCTCTCTTTTGGCTGGGGGAAGGGCTCTGCCAGGTTCCCTCTGGCTCTCACCTTTTTGAAGGATGCTTGTGGGTGCTTCCTGCTCTTCTGCCAGGCAGGGACCTTCTTGCCAGGCTTAGCTCCTCTGCTCTGTGTTCTCCTCGCCATGATGAGCTTCTGCCCTGTGTGTGAGCACCAAGACGGTTACAGTGAGGCTTCAGAAGCAAGATCAAGGTCATCTTTGCCTTTGGAGGTTCCCATCACTCCAAGTACAAGCAATGGAACTGGGGATCCACTTGCTCCTGTGCATGGGAAACCAGTGCCACCCTTCCTTCTACTGCCATGGAACAAATGTGGCTTAAGATGACAAGGGTCATTTGGTACCTGTAGTTAGACATTTGGAAAGAACTTGGTGGACAGAGTAGCTCACGCTGGGCTCATCTAGAAGACTTTGTACTTGGCACATGGCCTGGGAGGACTTGTACCTCTGGTGGCCAGAAGAGCTGGAACCCTTACATGTCTCTTTCTTGTCTTGATGGGGTCTCTCCAGATAGTCTCTCCAGCATGGTGGCTCCAAGGGAATTGGACTTGCTCCCTGGTGATCAAGGAACCCTAGGTGCCCTCCAAGAGAGACTATGCCAGGAAGGAATGAAGGAGGAAGGGGGAGGGAGACAGACAGAGGGAAGAGGAAGGATTAACCTGTCAGTCCCAAGTGTCAGTGATGCCCGGGGCTGCTTCAGCCCCCTTGCCCTGATTGATCGTAGGAGCCTCAATGAGTACAGCCAGTTTATAGAAATGTTTAGTGGCATTTACAAGTGCTGAGCACAGCCACACATACTCCATAGATGCCTGAGAATGACATGTGAATGTGTGCTCTGAAGACAAAGACAGGCACAGGAACAAAGGTTCCTAAGGGGCAACATTCATTATAGTGCCAACCTAGAAACAACCCAAACATCATGAACAGATTGAGGGTGGCATAATGTGGAATGTCGTCTAGTAGTGAAGTTAAACCCACACAAGGGTGGATTGTACCAAAGTATCATTTATAGAGGGTTAGAGTGCTGTATGGTATCATTTATATAGAGACAAAACCAGGTAAAATATGAGGAGAGAAGCCAAATTAGTGGTGGCGATAGTGATGTCTTGGGAGGACATGGGGGACACTTTTGTGGTATTGAATAAACGTGTGAGAGAGAGAGAGACGGAGAGAAAGCTGCCCTCTATTGGCTCACTCCCCAGATGCTTACTCTGGCCGGGGAAGAGCTGGAGAGAATCGAACTAGCAGCCAAGAAGTTGATTCAGGTTTCCCAGGCAGGTGGCAGGTAGCCATCACAGCTGCCTGCCAGAGCTCACATTACCAGGAAACGGAAATGGGAGCCAGACTCCGGAGTTAAGCATGCCAGCGTGGGGTGTAGGCATCCTAATTGGCACCTCCAGTGTCTTAACTCGGGTGACAGTGATGGAGATGTGTTCATTTTGTAAAATCTAATCAGGATTGTGTACTTCTATGTACCACAATGTGGGAAAAAAAATCGGCTTTTCAAAGCTGATGTCCATGTTGCATGGCAGAGATCAGCAAACTACAGCTCCTGGGTCACTCCTGGCCAAGCACTGGGATTTGTAGCTCTGGCTTCCCCGGGACGCTGCCCCACGTGCAGCTGGTCTGGAGCTACAGGGACAGAGGTGAGTGCCCTGAGACAGTCTGTGCACAGCCCCACAAACCTTAGCTTGCTTACACTCTGCCATTTGCCCACCTCCATTCTAGAGTATGTTTTCCTCAAACCTTTCGCATGTGTTGGAGAAGAGCCAAGACTTGGTTTCCAGGAAAACACTGGCTTTGTCGGAGGCCCCCTTCCACCTGCCCCCCTGACAACCCACTTGCTTTAACCCTGGGCTGGGTTCTCATCCAAGCAACTGGGTTTGCTTCTTTTTTTTTTCCCCCCTAATTTTTTTTTTCATTCTGACCATTGGAATCAGAAAAGTTATATACATATCCTGAAATAATTCAAACAAGAGAAAAATGTCTAAAATAAAACAGGTAGTCTGTTTACCCAACTCCAGTTTCACTCCCTGGTGCCATCACCGTGAACAATCCGGCCTATTCTCTTACTGTGTTCTTCATTTAAACACACACAAGCTCGCTTACAGAGTTTGACTTGATGTTCCTTCTCTTTTTGTGATACGAATGGGCTTGTACTGGCCGTTTTTTGTACGGAAGGAGATGTTGCAGGCCTATCTCACAGTGAATAGCTAATAGCTGCTTGATATTCTTTAATGTAAATACATCATCATTTGTTCAACCATTAAAATATAGAGCCACAACGTTTTCAGGGTTTTTTTTTTTTTTAAACTATTAAAAGTGATGCTACCACAAACATCTTTATATATTCATGCCTTCATATACTGGCCTTTTCAATTCTGGGTAGATATATTCCTAGATTTGGGGGAGGCAGTGCGAGGCCACAGTTTAAATTTTCCAAAATACGAATAACGGTTGATTTTCCACAATGTGATACTGATTTAAGGCCTCCTCCAATGGTGTTAGAGAGAACTGGCTTTCTTACCCTCACCAGCTCTGGATGTTACACACATTTTCCATTTTTGCCAATCTGATGGGTAAAAAATAGTATCTCATTGTTCTCATTTGCATTTCCCTGACAAGTGATGCTGAGCATCTTTTCATATGTTTATTGGCCATTTGCATTTCTGCTTCTGTGGTGAATGTTGCAGGCTTGGCCTGGATTTCTACTGAGTCCTGGGTCTTTTCCTTGCAAATCTGTAGGATTGGTTTTATAGAGATGGATAAATTACGGTGATTAAAACAGAGAGAAGTAAGTCCTCATGCATGCACTACAAGGATGGACTCTCAACAAAATGACTAAAAATCTACATTGTTGGGAGACACCTCAGTTGCAGTAAGATGGACTTGTAAAAATTCACAAAAGATACCCATGGTAAGACTGGAGGGGAGGGCAGAGGGGAGGGGAAGGGACCGAGGGGAGGGGAGGGCAGAGGGGAGGGGAAGGAACAGAGGGGAAGGGGAGACCCCACTGCTTATTCAACTATGTCATAACACCACAACAAAAAATTACGGTGATTAGCCCTTTATTAATTCTATAGGTGCAAATATTTCACTGGCTGATAACATGTTTTGCTGTGCTCTGCCTTTGATGAAAAATGATTAATATTATGCCCTTAGGCTCTTATATTTACAGGAATATAAATAAGATAGTTTGCTTTTCAATAATCTTATCAGAATCTCAGCTGTTAAAAATAGCGCATCTGGAGCTTGGGTAAAGCTATGACTCTCAAATGTTTTCCAATTTTTAAGTAACAGAATGTTCAAGAAATATCCAAACAGATTTTTCCATAGTGAAAAGTGTCATGATTTGACTTAGGGGCTGGAGGGCCTAGTCTGCTGTCTCGAAGTGCTTCGCTGCCCTTCTCCCACAACCCGGAGACTCGCTGGTGACCAACCACTTCTGCTCCGTGGAAAACCACTGGAGAGTCACTGACCTGAACCACACAATCCCTCCAAGCATTTCATCACAGTTTTCTGGAGCGTGATCCTTGGCATATTAAACAGAATTGTTAACAAGTGCTTTGTGAAGAAAAGACTCCGGGATGGCTCCATGGCCTGCTGAAATGAGGCAGGCCTTCCCCTTTTCAACTAGCCATACTTGGATCCTTTGGAAATGGAAAATGTTAGCGTGTCTAAATAACAAGAACGGATTACTGGCTAGGATGCCTGTGTGCCACAGCAGAGTCCCCGGGGTCAAGGCCTGGCCCCAGCTCCTGAGTTTAGTTTCCTACTAATGCATACTGTGGGAGGCAGCAGGTGATAGCTCACATGGTTGAGTTTCTGCCACCCAAGTGGGAGACTTGGGTTGAATTCCCAGCTCCTTGGCTTCCATTCACCAACCCCAGCCACTTCCCAAATGCTTGCAATGACCAGGGCTGGACTGAGGGACCAAAGCCAAGAGACAGAAGCCCTAATCCAAATCTCCTCCAGGGGTGACAGGAACCCAGTCACTTGAGCCATCACTGCTACCTTGGCATTAGTAGGAAGCTGGAATTGGGAGCTGCAGCTGGGCCCTGGACCCAGGCACTCTGATGTGGGCTGTGGGTGTCCTCACTGGCGACGTAACCACTAGGTCATATGCTTTCTTCTGTGCAAGGGTTCTGGGAAATGAGAGATGAGCAAGTTGTGGTCCTAGTCCCTGAGGGATTTACAGTTTTGCAGGTGACATAGAGGTAAGTAAACTGCCATAATCACAAGCATAAACAATCACTACGGGGTTGTGTGTTCAGGAAGAAGCAAAGTCTCATGTGCCCTGGATCTGCCAGAGAAGCCACACGGATGCAACTGTTTAGGTCTTCGCAGCATCTACTGTGGACGTGTGTGTGTGTGTGTGTGTGTGTGTGTGTGTGTGTGTGTGTGTGTGTGTGAGCCTTGGGCAGTTCCAGTTCCAGTCTCCAGCAGAGAGACATTGCCTATCCCCTGCTCCCTGCCACACTTGCTCCAAGTCATGCCCAGTTGCAAATTTATAAATAATAAGTGTTGTTGTTTGTTTTAAAAGGTGTTATGAGGATGCAAGCAAAGAGCAAATCACGGTGTGAGGGAAGACTGGGCAGACAAGTAGCGAAAGGTCAGAGCTTACTGGGCTGCGACCGTGGGTGAAGTTCAAAGCTTTTGCTCACAACTTGAAAGGCAAGCTCACATGCATGCACCTGTACTAGTTTATTTTTTTTTTCCTTTGGGGGGAAGGGAGGGCAGTGGGCTTCTCACAGGACTTTGATCCACAGAAGGGAAAGCTACTGCTATGGTCTGGATATCAGTTTGGGTATATCCCCCCAGGGTCCCATGAGTTTTGGCCCTCAAAGTCCTACATGAATGGTTCTAATCCAGTTGCAATGCTTGTGGGTGGGGCCTGTGGGACGTGACTGAATTGGGTCACTAAGGTGCAGCCCCTAGACACACATACAGGTGTTCCCTCTTGCCATGGGATGTTCTGCGCTGTTTGGAAACTTCGCCAGTGAGTGCACCAAAACCAGGCGCTAAACTGATGGGGCTTTCTGATTTTGGACTTGGTCCTCTAGGGGCATAAATGTAAATAAACCACTCTTGTCTGGACGTTAAGCTACCCCCATGTACTTTGTTATAGTAACAACAACAACC